AGAGAGGAGGAAGAGAGGAGGGAGGCGGCACGAGAAATCCTAAATTATAATATATATATATATATATTAATTAATTTTTTTAATTTTATAGGTTCGGGTTGAACCGACCAAAATGTTATTAAACCTGCGAACCAAATTGAATTTTCGATTCATAAAAATTTCAACCCAAAAACATTTCTAACCCAACCCAACGTTGGGTTGTCCGGGTTGTTCTGGTCACCGGGTTCTTTGAACACTCCTACTAACATGGTGTACTATTTCAACAATTTGTTCAAATCTTTAAAAAGTCTTTTGATTGCAATGGAACCATAAACATAACTGAGCCAAGATAATGCAATTCCAAACTAAATTCTCTCTCTGTTTATAAGGAAACCAATATTGCATTAATTTTATGAAATATTACAAAAGAGATCCTTTACAGGATACCTATCAAAGAGAAAGGGGGAGGAATACAAAACCCCAACCTTGAGGAGGCTACAAAAAGCTCCTCCAAGAAGAAAGCTATAATTGTGAGGGGGGATTAGCTACAATTCCAAAGTAAATCTTCATTTTCAAACAGTCTAGTTCTTTTATTGCACTCCAACCATAAAACTTGTATCATTATTGGGAAAACACATTTTGGAAATAACTGTCTCTAGTTCTTTCATTTTCCACCATGAGACAAGATTTTGTCCTTTTAGTGACCCAAGATACTCCAAAATATTAGTTTATGATTGAACTTTCCTGATGTCTATCGGAATAGTTTTCATAAATCATACAATACTCAATACATCTAAATGAGATTTTTTTCAAATGCATCATGAAGAATACCCTATTGTTGTTGATTTTTCGGATGTCAATTTTCTATACTTGAAGCTATATTTGTTTTCTATTCTTTCATTATAGTTGAATCTAAACTTTGAGCTATTAGGGATCTTCCTGCTGAGCATCTTCATAAGTTGCTTTTAAGTTGGGAAAAGATTACTGGCTACGTTCCTGAGGTATGATTTTACTTAAAAAAGACTTTTAGTAGCCATGGAATTCACTTGGAATATTATCCATTTGCTTACGTTAACAACTCTGGTGTTTTTGATATTGGGGTGAGATAGTAAGCTTTGTCACTTTATTCTAATTTTATTCTTGATGCTTTTGCTTTAGATGGAAGTACTTGTATTTTAAAATTTGTATCAAACCATCGTTGCTTATTTAGAAGTCAAGGACCTCAGCAACCTATAGAACATATTTGTCCAAGTAAGATTGTAAATCTTCCTTGCTTATTACAACGTGTAAACACTAATAGTTTTAGAAAATCAATAGCTTCCATGTCATTCACTAAAGAGATATATATAGACAAGTATACAAGGTTAACCTAATTAAAAAATGTAAAAAAATTATAAAGGACAATATGTTTAATAATACAAATTATACTAGTACAAGCACTATAATACTCCCCCTCAAGTTGGAGCATATATATTAACCATGTCCAGCTTGTTAGAGAGATAAGTATACATGCTCAATTTATATTTTTTGATACGAAACTTTGGAACTGTATTAAGAGAACAACAAAAAGGGAACAACCTAACGGCGGGGTAGAGAGAACCCCCACCAAAAAGGCTAAACCAAAAATAGGGAACAACTTAACACTTTTGTGAAGGCCTGAGAGAATTAATAACATATTTCCATTCACTAAAGATATATATAGACAAATAGACAAGGTTAACCTAAATAACATAATGCAAAAATACAATAAAGGACGATGATGGAGCATTTGTTGTGGATCTGTTAGTCCATGTAGGATTTATGGCTTCGATTCTTTAGATGTTTTGGGATTGTTTAGGTCCGTTCCAGAGATTGTAGGGCGATGATGGAGGAAGTACTGTTATTCTTCCTTTTCGTGATAGGGGTCGTTTTCTTTGGCAGGCGTGTTTTCTGGCTACTTTATGGGGTCTCTGGCTGGAGAGGAACAATAGACTGTTTAGAGGGGTGGAAAAAACTGTGGACTATGTTTGGGATCTCATTAAGTTTAATACTTACCTCTAGATTGTCAGCCACCAGAGATCGTGGAAGATGACAAGACAGAGGAGAAAGAGCACCCTCATCCAAAGGTGTTTTCTTTTACTAAAAGCATGGTAATAGAGCTGTGGGAAAATAACCTCTGTATCAGACCAATTCCAAAAAAAGGAAAGACAGGGGCAAAGACAAATAGCACGAATCCTTCAGAACGCAGAGAAGTTAGAAATTTGCTTGCTACTTGGGAGAATGAAGCTAAGGCTATTAAATGGGGTCTCACCCCTTTTCGCTTTGAAAATGCTTGGCTAGATTCTCCGCAGCTACTTCCCATGGTAGACAAATGGTGGAATGATTGTCCTCTAAGGGATTGGCCTGGTTATGGTTTTATGACGAAACTCAAAGGCCTTAAGAGCATCCTCATGAAATGGAACAAGGAAGTCTATGGTAATATTGGTATCCAAAAGGCAGAAGTTGTGAGAGACATCAACGACCTTGATAAGAAAGAAGTACAGGTTCTTTCAGAAGATGAGATCAATAGAAGGAATCGACTAAGAGAACAGCTAAATGATCTTGTGATCAACGAACAACGTTTGTGGATGCAAAAAGGGAAAATCAGATGGATAGAGGAAGGGGATGAAAATTCCCATTTCTTTCATCGATGGACTTCACATAGGAAAACTCATGCTTATATTGGGGAATTAGAATCTGACAAAGGTTTTTTGCTCACTTCAGAGGGAGATATAGAGGCTGAAATTCTGAACTACTTTGAGGCATTGTACACCACCACTACAGACAATTGCTATATGATAGATAATATGGAATGGTCACCTTTACATGCAGATTATAGGCAGCAGCTGGAGGCTCCTTTTACTGTTGAAGAAATAAAGAAAGCAGTGGCAGAGTTGGGAACCCTAAAGACCCCGGGTCCAGATGGGATGAGTAATAAGTTCATGAAAAAGGCTTGGAACACTTTCAAATCAGATTTGGAGAAAGTGTTCCATGACTTTTTTGAGGAGGGGATTGTCAATAGAAGAACAAACGAAACCTATATTTGCCTTATCCCTAAAGAGACTCATCCAACATCAGTTAAAGACTTTAGACCTATAAGTCTGGTAACCTCTCTTTATAAAATTATAGCCAAAATCTTAGCTAGCAGGCTTAAATCTGTTCTTCCCCACATAATACATGATTCTCAGGCAGCTTTTGTTGAAGGTTGTCAGATTCTAGATGCCATTCTTGTAGCTACAGAAACTGTCAATTGTTGGAGAAAGGAGAAAAAGAAGGGCTTCCTCTTAAAATTAGACTTTGAGAAGGCCTATGATAAAGTTGACTGGTCCTTCTTAGATGCTGCCCTACAAGCTAAATGCTTTGGCCATAGATGGCGCCATTGGATACGGGGGTGTCTTTCTTCCACACATTTTTCTGTCATCATTAATGGCAGGTCAAAAGGGAAGATTTTGGCTAAAAGAGGGCTTAGGCAAGGAGATCCCCTCTCTCCCTTCCTCTTCACCATTTTGGGCGATGCTCTAAGTCCGTTAATCCATTTTTGCAATGAAAGATAGATTCTTAGAGGGTTCTCTATCGGATCAAATGCTATAGAAGTTACTCATCTTCAGTATGCCGATGACGTCTTGATTTTCAGTCCTTTTTCTAATAAGAATATGGAGAAATGGTGGGGTATCATTTAAATTTTCCTCCAGATGTCGGGTCTCTCTTTGAATATAGCAAAATCAGTAATGATTGGGGTGAATTGTAGCGATTCAGAAGTTAACTTTTGGGCAAACACCCTAGGATGCAAAACGGAATCTCTTCCTTTTAATTACTTGGGGTTCCCCCTAGGAGGCAATCATCGTATATTCAGTTTTTAGGAAGTAGTGGTGGAAAAAATGCATAGAAGACTGGAAAAATGGAACTTTTGTTGCTGTCCAAAGGGGGACGGCTTACTCTGACGCAGGCAGTCTTAAACAACATCCCTACTTATTTTTTTTTTCGATCTTAAAAGCTCCAAAATCAGTGATAAGTGCGATGGAAAAACTCATGCGAGACTTTATTTGGAACGGAGGAAGATATAGGCCGAATGGGAATCTTGTGAAATGGTCTTGGACAGCTCTGCCTTCTCAACTGGGAGGGATGGGAGTAGGTTCTCTAGCTCACAAAAATACAGCCCTCTTAATGAAATGGTTGTGGCGCTTCGCAAATGAAAAAACCAGTTTTTGGAGGAAGATTATTACTGCCATTTATGGAGAAGAGCCTTTTGGTTGGTGGTCCAAGCCCTCTAAGAATTCCTCCATAGGTAGACCGCGGATTGACATACAAAGAACAACACCAGATTTTGGGAGACTCATCTCTTTCAAAGTGTCTTTGGGGACGTTAGTTAGATTTTGGGAAGATTCATGGATAGACTCTTCTCCTCTATCCGTCTCTTTCTCGGATTTATATGCCATTTCTACCAAGAAGGATTTTTCTATAGCTGATTGCTGGAATACAGAGGCTATGACATGGGACATTGGCATGAGAAGGAACTTTTTTGATAGAGAGCTTGAAAGGTGGGCGTTGTTTACTGGTAACTTGAAGGAGTGGTTATTGGCCAGGCAATGACTCCATATGCTGGACTACAGACAGGAAGGGTGTTTTTCAGTGAAATCGGCCTTCATGGCAATTACCTCCCCTCTCCCATATTAAATGCAGCCACCGCTCTCTCATCTGGAACTTTAAGGTTCCAAAGAAGGTTAAGGTGTTCCTTTGGACTCTCTTTTATAGGGGCACAAACACAGCTGAAAAAGTCCAAAGGAAATTACCTCAGTGGACTCTCTCACCTTCGGTTTGTGGTATGTGCATTAGGAGTGCTGAAACGGTGGATCATCTCTTCCTTCATTGTACCTTTGCAAATATAGCTTGGAACTATTTGGCTTCCCACCTTGATTTGGCTCTTTTTCTCCAGAAGAAAATAGATGATTTTATCACTGAAGGTTTTGGTGGTTCTCTGCTAAGAGGAAAATCTTTTATTCTCTGGAATTGTGGTGCTAGAGTCCTTCTGTGGCTGCTTTGGAAGGAACGGAACTACGACTTTTTGAAGAGAAAGAAGCTTCACTTGACTCTTTTTGTGTGAATATAAAGCATACTGCTTCTTGGTGGGCCTCGATCAACAAGAAGGTTTTTTGTAACTATGGTTTTCTTTTGACTCTTCAGAGTTGGAATTCCTTGATTGCTTAGTCTCTTTGGAGAGGGTCCTCTCGACCCTCTGCCTCTAGGTTGTATTTCCTGCCTCTTTTGGGCTCCTCTCTTTTTATTAATGAAAGTTCTTTGTTTATTATAAAAAAAAAAAATACTTCTTTGTGGGGGTCGGTCACTAAGGCCTTTTGTTATTATCAGTTAGGTCTCATTTTTTTGGATTGGAGCCATTTTCTTTAGGGGTTCCCTATTGCAAGGCTATTTTTTTGTATACCCTCCTTGTTTTGTATCTATTTTCATTTCTCTCAATGAAAGCGCAATTTCTTATCAACAAAAAAAAAAGAGAGAGAGAGAGAGACAATAAAGAACGATATGTCTAATAATGCAAATATACTACTTTAAACACTACACACAAGTGACTTCTATCTAGAGAACAAAAAGGAAGGACGGAAAAGCTATTTTTTTTTGTTACGAGTGTCTATGGTTTGCTTGTCTTATCATTTTTACTAAGGAATGATCTTTTTTGCCATTATGCATTAGACATGCTTCACATATTTTCTTGCCTTAGATCCATGACAAAGTGAAGGACTTGCTGTTGGCTTTCAAGCTTGGGGATGGAAAGAGTTCAGAAAAAGACATTGCAGATTTAGCCAAGTATTATTCCACTGCATATGTTCGATTTTGTTTTAATAGGAGATATTATTTTCATGCAATATTTCTTTCCTATGCAATCTGTTATTGTTTTACCTAGTAAAAGATCTTGGATTGTGGATGGAAATTGGGCTTGCCTAAGCGTCCAACCAGGCATTTGTCCAAAGGATAAAGCCTTACCTTCTTGGAGGATTTGAGGGTGGGTCAAGTAGGCTTGCCATTTTTTTTTTGCTCTTTGTTCTCATATTAAATCCAATCAAAGAGCACTATTTCAACTGTGTTTTTTTTAAAAAAAAGGAGTTCATTCTCTCACCCAAGCTCAAGCCCCAACCAGACCTTGGGTTACTTGCTGGGTTTTTTTCTCCATCATTATTTTTAAAATCTTGGACCATAACTTTATATAGCTGTCAATTCCTTCTTTCACTTTCTCTTTGTAGGTTAAATTATAATTTTAGTTTTTATAATTTATTCTTATTTTCAAATTAGTCCTTATGATTTTAAAAGTTTCAATTTTGTCCACATGATTTAATTAAATCTCTCCTCATGCCTATGAATTTATCAAATATTTGCATTGTTACATGACATGTTTTTTTTTTCTAACATCTCATTGCCTCTATTTGCCACAAGAAAAATGCCGCGTATCCAGAAAAATAAAATGTCCCTATTCACATGTGGAAATGGATAACTTATAAATATTTGTAGGAGGCTTTGTGAGATGTATAGAAAAAACCATGAGTGAGTTAGACTTAAGGAAGCTATAATAAAGGTCAAGGGTAACTGGTAACAACAAAACTATTATTCTAGTAGAAATCGATATAGCTAATTCATTGAGCTCCTATTTGAAAAGCAAGTGGTTGATATTGATTAGAGGGTCGTGGACATGGACATCCATTAAACCTTCTTCAAAGAAGCAGCTGAGGTGCAAGAGGAGTCTATGACTGTGCCAGTAGTTATTATCCGATGGTTAATGAAGGAAAAATACCTTCGTTCAAGAATGTAAACAAAAAGATTCCGTATGAAAAGATAGATGTATCAAGTAATGAAAGTCTTTTAAGGGATGTGAAATCTTCTAAGCTATTAGTAGCTTTGAAATTGTGTTAGAGGAAGCTTCGAGTCTAGTTGACTACACCGCATTACTTTTGGAAAAGACTGGAATCGTCGATGTTTTGGAGATGTTTCTGAATTTTTTCGAACTCAGTACAGGAAATGTTTGTATTATTGTACTATCTATATGCCTAAAAATTGGAGAGTATGTACTTGTTAGTCTTACCACCAGTATGTAATCTTACTGCAAAAGTATGGGTAGAAAATTGACATGTGTTCTATTTTTTACCATTTCTTAGAACCATGATACCTTTGCATCAGTGAAGGGGATGACACATATTTTAGACCCTATCCTTATAAGATAATGGAAGAGAAAAGGAAAGTAGCCAGTGAGGAATTGACAAATGGAATACAAAAGGAAAGTAAGTAGTGTTCATCAAATTTTGGATGCAGAGAGCCAATAATATGGTTGATCGGTGGAAAATGACTTCAGTGCTAGATGGAGGGATTGTATATTTGACTATTTCTCATGTGTGCAACTAAGTCTTATTAAATTGAAAAGGGGAACATTTGGGCTTCTTGTGGCCTTAAATATGGGGTTTGCCTATCCTCCCTTTTTTTATTTTTGCCAATGTGTTTAGCCATTTCTTGGGTAGAGATTTTGGATCTTATTGAGGGCTTTCAATTTGGTAATGGCAACTAGCTGATTCATATTTCTCAACAAAGTATGATACACTTTTTTTTCTTCTCCTGGTTGAACTTGAACCAATATCAGAAATGTGTTTATCATGTCATATCTTTGAGCATGGGTTGGATTTTGGAGTTAATAGAGGCAAATCCAAACTTCATCAAGGTAAGATATTCTCGAGAGGAGGTTGATCATGTAGCTAATTAAGTATCGTGCCTATGAAGGATTCTGAGCTCCCACTGAGTTGGTAATCTAAATACTCTCTTTGGGAGATAGGTTCTAGAATACAAATGTGGAAATATGCGCCCTCTCTAAGGGCCACAAACTTACTATAGTAGAAGACACCTTTTCAAACAATCCAATCTACTATATAACATTATCCAAGATGCCTAGAAAAATGTTTCAGATTGTGGAGAAATTGATTAGGATTTTTTTTTTAGGCATGGAGAAGAAAGTGAGGTCTCATCTCGTTAATTTTTATTTTTATTTTTTGATAACTGAGAGTCAGAACTTTGCTCCCATATACCCAAGCGCACCCGGGCCCGGCCCATAGCCCGGACCCAGGAGATATCAAGTGGTTTTGGTATTAAACTCACCAGAAGGTTTGGATTTGAGACTTGACCAAGAGACCCAAAACCTTTGCCAACTGGATTGCCCCTTGAGGGCCTCACCTTGTTAATTGGAAGAATATTTCTTTGCCTTTGGAAAAAGGAACATAAATCTTTTGGTTTGGTGGTGAATTATGTCCTTGTAATAGTTACTCTGGTCCCTTGGCTTTTACTGACAAGTGCTGGAACTTGATTGAGTAATGATCTTTATTTAAGGTGGATGATGGAGCTTCTGTTAAACAAGTTAGATAAAATGACCTCTAGCTTGTGCTCTAAAGTTAGCGGCATCCAAGTTGTTAGCCAACCTTGCTACCTGAGGTTCATTTAGTATTAGAAAATATACCTTTAGATGGGATATGCATTAAAATGCCTCCTTTTAGGACAAATGGTCAACTCACCATGCTTGGATTTTTATTTCTTTGATATTCCTTATTTGATTTTGCAAGGAAGTGACTTTTTCAAGAGTTCTCCTGCATAGTTTTGATGAAAAAGAGAAAACACTTAATTTATCCAATTCATGGTTTTTTTTGTTGTTCTTCTTATTATTATTTTTTGATAGAAAATATGTATTTCATTGATGTATGAAATAACACACAAGAGGGAGGGGCTCCTTAGAGCCCATGAATGGAGTTCCAAAAAGGTCATCCATTTGACCCAAATTAAAGTAAGACTATAGTCAGAGAAAGGCTTCTTGCATTTACACCGGTAAAAGCACCATAAATATAACCAAATTTAAGAAGGATTCAAAAGGAATCATTGAAGATACGGTCAAGCCAAGTAGGAAAGCTCTGTTCTGTACGTGGTGGTTTTTTTCTTTTTTTTTTTTTCTTCATGCTGTTGTTCCTTACTTGCTACATTGAGTTAATATACGTGTGTTCTTAGCATTTAACTAGCTTTGAGGTGACTGGTTTTTTCTTCCTGTGGTTTTGATCTCTTTGTATTTCCATTTTTCTTCATGAAAATCTCATTTGATTTTATAAAGGAGAAATTGTATTTCGTTAGATATGAAACCTACTCAATTTATCATCTTCATCAGTTGGCAAACTAAATAAATCTGGATTTTACTATTTTATTTGCAGAAGACATGCATCACGAAGAGACTTATTTGTTAAAAATTCAAAGCCTATGATTGAGAAAGCTGAGTCATTTCTTAGTACATTGGTCAGGTAACAAAACTTGTTCTATTTGAGCTGTTATTATGGTTCCTGATATCTCAATGTAGATTTGAAAGGATTATATTATTTTGTTATAGTTTGACAAATGAATATATGGGTTTTACTTGTTTGGCCTATGTGGATAGGTCGTAGATATGTTTGCTTAATCTTTTCGGGAAGTTTTGCTTGTTTTACAATTTTAGTCTTCTTCCATGGATGTGGCAACTTTTTTGTTGTAAGGTGCTTTGTCATCCCTGTTACTTTAGTAGAGAACTAATAATATAATCATAATACATGTAAATGTTGAAGGCTAGAAAACTGTTACTTTTGCAAGGGGCTTTCTCGGGAGAAGGCAAGGGATAAATGTTGAAGGCAAGAAAACTGGAGAAAAACGGGTTATCCCCTACCCAGCTATTGTCCGTGAAATGAATTGGCAAACCATCCTCATGCAAAAACTTAAGAAGCTAGAGAAAGTCGTATATCTAGAAGCGATGGACCTCCATAAACTCCTGAAAGTGTCTTAGACCCTATGACTTGAGAGCTGATATCCATTGCTAGGAAGAGGACTATACTTTCTCACAATGATCCTATGCCACAAAGTTTCAATTTCCAAAGGGATTACGGAGTCTCGAATCGATAAAGACACAATTTCCCATTTAACCAAATGAGATCCCCACTCTTTTGGACACCTTCCCAAACAAATCTCTTGAGATATTTTCCACCCTAGACCACACATTTGAGGGAGACCTAACTCAAGACTTGAAATAGGTTGGGATCCTACTCTCAAACCAAACTAAATGAGATTCTATCTATGATCCTTAGTGAAAAAAGCCTTTTTTTTATGAGAATAGGCATTTCTGAACCTTCTTCACCACTGGGTTTTAGAAAGACAATCTATTAGGACTACCCCCAGAAGGAAGACCCATATAGATAAAAGGAATATAGATAAAAGGAACGGTGTTAGATCATCAATCAACTCAAAAGCTTAAGCTTATAGGTTTGGTAAATTTAATCATTTATAGATATCTCAATAAATGGTACCCACATTCCGCCCCACTAGTGGAAGCGCATCTCTCCAACTTAAGATACTTAATTAATATCACATGGAGAACTCTTGTCCCTATCAACTTTAAGCCATGAGCTGATCTCAAACACTGTTAGAATGGAACTAAGATTAATAAAAAAGTCCTCCCTACCCAAAGAAAATAAGATCATATCATTTATTGGAGATAGACAAATGATTTCTCTCTTGACCTACATGGAATCACCCTTATCGGCCTTACCTACACCATCCTACTAAGAACATCCACAACCAGAAGGAAAAGAAAACGGACAGGATTTCCTTGCTTGACACCTCATGAGGCAAAAATTATATCCCTAGGATTATCATTGACCAATTTGTGAAAGTTATTCAGCCCAAAGAATTTTTTTATAAGAAACAATTTCATTGATGAGTGAAATTATAAAAGAGGGGGAATGGGTCCCAAGAACCAATGGAGTTACATGAAACTTCTCCAATTGGTCAAGAGAGAATTAAAGCTATAGTAAAAAAAGAGGGGTGAAGATTTACACCAAGTAATAGCATGGAAAATGATAAAATCAAAGGGCCTATCAAAAGAGATCTCCTTGTCGTTGAAAAGTTGATAATTTCTCTCAATCCATGTGTTCCAAAAAAAGGTCCTGATGATGTGGAGCCATAGGAACTCCTTTTCCTTGTTGAATGGATGCCGTGAAGAGAAAAGGAATAAGGTCCTTGATGTCTAATGGAAGCGCGACATCCCAGCCAAATGAACATAAAATCTACTCCCAAAACTTTGCTGCGAAGGTACAAGTGTGGAAGGTGTGTGGTTGAGTCTCCGTACTGCTCTCACAAAGAACACACCAAGGAAATTTAAAATTCAGGATTTCCATTTGAGCCCAAAACCCTTCTTCCACACCACTTTCTTTATGAGCCCATATGATCATAAGTTTTCTCAAAATCAATCTGAAAGACAAAACCCTCCTGCTTACAATCCTTTGTTTATGCTCATATAGCAAAAAAAGAAAATAAAAATAAAAGAAGAAAAGAAACATAAAAGATTTATTAGGAGGGCTATGAGAAATCTACTTTGTGCCTTCATTTCGTCATCAAAGCTCAAGTGATATAGGACACCAACACTTAGAATAAGGGTTGAAGAAACTCATTCATGACTTAACATTGGTAGAATGCTACCTTCAATTCCATATATGTTCAATAGAGTCAAAGATTTCCTCCACTAACACAAGTATGCTTATTACCCCTCGAACCTTATAGTATTTAGTCACCTCAATGCAGTAAGGATCTTGGCTAAATTTATCTCCCTTCAATAATTAAAGTATTTGGATGAAAATCAAAGCCAAACTTTTTGAATTGTTAAAAAAAATGCTATGCAGTCATTTCTCCTAATCAACTGATGAAATTCTTAAAGCTTTTTCGTGGTTATCTTTCCACGTGGTTTACTTGGATCTTTTTTTATTTTATTATTATTATTATTTTTTTTTAAATAAGAAACTTCTTTGTATTGATCAAAAAGGGGAACAAACTCTTATAAAAAAAAAAGGGGGGGAACAAACTAGAGGCTGGATAGAGGAAACCCCACCAAAAAACTAAACAACCGCTTTCCAATTGTTCATAAACTTGGTTTACTTGGATCTGATTCTTCATGCTTATTTATTAAGAATGGATATACATGACAAAGCGACTGCATGTTCATCCAACTCTCACTAGAGGTTACATTGCTTACACCTTCCTTATGAAGCTTAGTGTGTTACATCAAACTTTTGGTAAATTCTGAAGCTTATGATTTTGATCTAATGTGTTTGACTTGCACTATAACCCCGTAAACACTGATGAAATGAGGATTTCTTGATATATGTTGTAATTTAATACTTTGAGATTTTTTTGATGCACTTGACCATGCTATTGCATTAGCTTGATCTAGGAATTGTATATTTTTAGGGTAAATATAAATTATGTTCTTATGGTCAAATGCAATTGCAAACGTGAACTCTATGGTTAACCCACATAGTTTGATAAAGAATAATATAAATCTTTTCTTTCCTACTTTGATACTTATGTGACATTCATTGGAGATGCCATATTACCTGCTAAAATAGTTTAACACGATTACACAAGTACTTATGATTAGGTACCATGTTAACTAGAAGGGTCTATTTCACTATTTATCAAATAACGTGGGTGCAAATAATTATTTTTAAGCCACATAAGGATTTCATTAGCAATTGTGGTAAACCGTAAAATTTTTTTTTTTTCCTTTGCAATTATCGTTCATCTTTACTGATGAATTTTGAAGCATGGCGGCAGGGTATCTTTCTGTATAGCTCTCTTAGTAAATAAATAAATTTTAATAAATGAGAAAAAAAAAGGATAAATTAAAGAAACTTTGAAGAGCACCTATTTTGATAATTTGATGTTCTGTTTAGTACATAAAGCAATGTGACTTATCCAAAAAAATGTGACTTATTGCTTTGCGTTGTTTTTCTTTTAAATAAACCAGTGAACATATGAGGCCAATTGAATGCATACCCTTTCACGAACTTATCTGCTTCAAAGATGTTAGAAAACTTCAGCTGGTAAGGATGCCTCCAACATGAATCATTACTTTAAAGTATAAATGGTACTGATTTACTAATAGTTGTTGCTAGCTATTGAGATGATTTTAGGGAAATCCGTTAGTGTATTTGATCTGCATTGTTGTAGCTTACTGAATCGCATTATTTTAGAAATCGTTCTTGTTTACTTTTATTGATAATACATCCTCTCATAGTGTGGAAAAGTTCTCAAGGCTTTTTGTCAATTATTAAGCCATAGTTTATAATATTAAAGATAATAATAGCCTTTCAAAATTTGGAATACGTTTTGAAAGGAAGAACGAGCCTAGGCATTTTTTTTTTTCAATTGAATATTGCTCATCATGACACTGACAATGTAGTTTTAATTTCTCTTAATTCTGTGGTTCAGCCAGCCTTTCATAAGTCAAAATAAGAGATCTAACTGTCTAAGGCTCATTATTATTCCACTGTATCCTTATTTAACAGTTTAATTTTTGTTTTTCATGCCCATATATTTTCTCTCATGGTCATTCCTAGTGGGTCTGTTCTAAAATTGTTATCCGTTATACAGGCTGATTGAACTTAAGTTGGACATAAATAAGTAAAGTCTGAATCATTCTTCTATCTTATTGATTTGGGTATTTGGTCTATTAAAATGGAGCTTTTGACTCTTCTGTTTTTGGAGTTGGATTGGTAGAAGGAAATTAACCAAGAGACATTAGTTCTAATCCTATCCATCTTTTGTTTTTCTTTTAAGGTAATGATTATTTAAAAATAATTAACTAGGAACTAGGAAGGGAAGATAAGAAAAATAGCCTTTCTCAGTCCAAAGAGGATTATGTGAGACCTCTGAACTGGCTTAAATCATGGAATGAGAGCAGGTAGAAAAGAATATAGAAAATGGTAAGAAAAAAGTAGCCTCTTTCCACCTGGTTAGTGGTCCTAATGTTGCCTCCAAACAGGTTGCCTTTCCTCTTCAACCATGTCTCCCAAAGAGTATCTACTGCTTATTTAACAAATTTAACATTGGCCTGAAATTTGGCCCAACACTGAAGCAAAAAGTCTTGAATACTGCTAGGACGATGCCGATAGAATCCAGAATCTAAACAATGGACCACCACAAATTACAAGTGGTTCACAGGTGAAGAATAAATAGTATTTATCCTTGCTACAATTACGAAGCTGGCACCATTTCAGTAGTATCCATCTTGCCTGACATTAAAGACCATACGAAGGACTTAGGCTCCTTAAGTTAGTTTATGTACGCTGGCACTAACTATGCATACTTTATTTCCTACAGAATTGGTTCCTTTCAAGCACATATAATTCTGTTCATGCTCTTTGACTTTATATCTACAAGCTATCTTGTTTACATTTATTATTTATTTAAATTTAACTAGGCTTTGATTGGAGACCCAAGAAGAAGGATTCAAGTTGACCTTCTCGAGTTCCAAAAAATGATAAAATGTACTTGTTGCAGTGAGAACAGAAATGGTCTTTTACCATGTACGCACGATTCAACAATTATGTGAGTAAAACTCTGGTATTACCTCGCAATTGTTTATATATTTGAACTATTTCCACTATAATATTAATGGAGTATTCATAAATTTGTTCTCTGACTCTTTACACATTCAACATTTTTTTTTAAGGGGAAACAGAGCTTTATAATTGATAATTAACAAGAGTATTCTTAGGGTGGAATTCAAATACAAAAAGGAAATTAACAGCACCAAAGAGAAATTACAATAAGGGAGAATAGAGCTTTGTACTAATTAGAAGTTCTTATGCTGGAAATAATCAAATTACAAAAAGAAATAACATAACCCAGTAAGTAGAAAATAAAAAATTACAAAAAAGTTGTAAAAGGAGATCCTCCTCGGCAGCCATATTCAGCAACTTCAACTACTAATGTTGATTTCCAACATAATCCTCTGATATCTCCTAATCCAATGCCCAAAATCTTACCTTCCTCAAGCAGCAACTGATAAAATACTAAAATTTGTCCTGCAGGCTGTAAATTCAACTGACTTAATGATTTAGTTATTGTTGAAGAATCAAACGCATAAGTCTGCAAATTGGGGCATTCTATGAAATTGGAGATTGTGTTTGGACCAATCGGCACCTCTATCATCTCCTTGGTCCACTTTGTTTTGAACTTCAAATGTTTCAAATTAGGAAAACAAAACCCGCTTAAAGAAGGAGCTTTAAACAGAACCTGTGTTGTATTGGACGGCAGCGTAAAAGAAGTTGCATTATGAAAAACTCTAAGCAATTTAGAGATATTTTCCTCCATCTTTTGCCGGTTTCTGGGTTCATAATGACGAACTAATATATGTATTTCGTGTATGCACAGAAACTCAGAAGCAGATTTTACACAAGGCACAACATTGTAAAACTGGACACTTTTGAGATTTGGGGCACACATACAATTGTTAGGATTTTATCTTAAGTAGGTGACCACCATGGAATTTGAACTCTTTCTCCCAAAATCCCGAGTCCCTTCCCCAAGCCCCAAAGCTAGTAAGCTAACTCATTGTAGTTGTGATGACCCTCTTTGGAATGGCTCTGGACGGTGATTCTGAAGCATCAGAGTGTGGGAGAAGAATTTAGATCGATGAATCATGTGGAAATTAAAGTTAGGAAAATCCACTAAAGACTCCGCTATTTCCATGGTTGAACAGAAAATAGAACATGTACTAGCAATTAGCATCATTCTGAAAGGACCATTTTCTATTAATCCGAATATCATATAAAAGTTCCACAACCGTAGTAATAGTAAACGAGTTCTACCAACTAGATAAGCTGTCCAAATAAAGAATGGTTGAACATAATTACATGTGCAGGCTAACGGATATTACAGACTTGAGAAGTTCATATCAATCCTAATTGCCTACTAGCCCAGAGATTTACTTACCGTTCGTTAAACTACACCCTGCCTGAAGATGTGGAATGCTAACACTTTGTCCCTATCCTTACTTAAAACTATTGAATCTGGACAAAAACAATGTTAAAAATCCGTGTATCTCAGTGGATGGTACCAAGGTTTCAACAATTAGAACCATGCTATATCTACCAAGGTTTAGAAGAATAACATTTCAAGTCATGTATTACAAAGAACCATTCTCTTTCTTTTGATGAGAAGCCCTAAAACCATTTTCATCAGGAAGCAATTCTTAAATCAAAACCATAAATTCTGTAAAGTTGTATCAAATCATGACTTTGTAAGCATGTAATGAAGATTCTCGGTTCTTGAACATCAACTTCTTCAACGTTTAGAATTCCCTATTTGTTTCTTCGAGGTACTCAAGGTATAAAATTCTTGATGTACACATGCAAGGATAATTAACACTTTTCCATCATTGATTTCTTCCTAACCTACAGGTGCTTCGATTTCTTTCTTTCGTTCTTTCTGGTTTTTCATCTAGCACTACAGATTACTTCACCAGCTCACTCATGGGTAATATTGGAATTAATAGAACTTCGCCTAGGTGTCAAATTCCACTAAGTTATAGTAATCTAATGGAATTTTGGTTTACAACTTGACCATTGGCGACTTGGTGAGTTTATAACCACCAACCAGCCACTTGAATTAGTTTTCGTTCTTTAATTTTTATTTTTTCTCTTCGTGAGTGTAAACCCGGATTAATGACTTCCATTTTTTCCCCTTGAATACAATTGAAAGTTCATACTCCGATCCAATTCACAATTGATTTGGTAGATACTCAACTCCAAATACATTATGAAAATGATGAAATGAAATGGCATTGAGTTGTATTATCAAGGGTCATCGCAAGTAGTCTCTCTCCAGAGAGAAGTTTGATGATAGAGCTGGTAGCCTGTGAGTCTGTATATGTAGCTCAAGGGACCATCCCTCGTTTTATGATATTCCATTTATGTAACCTTTGTGACCTACATGGAGTTAAAAGATTAATATACATTTGTGTGCATGAAGACAAAAAACTAGTATTGTTGATGTTGGTATATGTTAGAATTTTACGTGTTGCAATCTTCAGTTGCAAGATCAAAGATTTTTATGCAATTTCCATGTAGGTATAATTTAGCACAAGAGCATGGTGATCTCATCAATCTCCATGATTGGTTCCAGTCGTTCAAGACAGTTGTTAGTCATACTCATGCTAAATGGAATCACAGGACAAAGCAATGCTCTACACCAAAGAAAAGGAAAGATAAACCTAGCCTTGAAAACAAAAGTGATGCATCAGTTCAGTATCCTTTTGCACTATTATGTGGTGAAATTGTAGTCTATGCTTATGTGATCTGCAAAACTGATCGTGAATGGAGCTCTATTATGTTTGTTTCTTAATTTTGGTACTTTCTGAGTGCATTTTTCCTGGTTAATGTCATTGCTCTATCTCCATTTTTTCATGTTTCTTCTAGCATATGTGAAGCTTTGTATGGGACAAAGGTTTTACTTATTAATTGAATGGTGTGAAATGCTTACATTTATACAAAAGTCTCTTAACCATATTAGCTAAAACTAAGTAGTTAGCTAAGGCTAAGCAAGTAGTTAGCTAATTCTAAGCAAGTAGTTAGCTAATACTCAACAGATCCAACTTTAAGTTGAACCAAAAAAAATTCACAGGATTTTGACACCACTATGTTTCTTGTTTTCTCCAAGAAAGCATATGTAGGAATAAATTTAATTGTATATATGCAATTTGTTCACTTTATCAACGAACCATTGGTCCACCAGGTATTTTGAGGATCCATTTGAAAACATCCTTGAAAATCCTTAACCTTCTTTTCAACAGAGCAAGATTTTGCACAGCTGTTACTGAACTGCAGATTACAGGGTTGCTTCGGATGCCAAGCAAAAGACGTCCAGATTATGTGCAGAGAGTAGCCTTTGGACTATAAGAACTACAATGAATCCAAGCTCAATGATGCATACAGAATGAATGAGAATCTTCACCTTTATAACCAAGGTGATTGGTGTTACTGCCTATTTTCTTTACTCTTATTAATACTTTTACAATTTTTAATGTGTAGACATTGACTGAAACAGGCCATTAAAAGGCTTAACGAGACAAATGGATCGTTGGGAATGTAGAGAAAAAATAATAAGTTAGTCAAATCTAGTATGGATCGTGCATAGATGGTAGTTAGAGTCTAGTTAGAGTCTGCAGCTCTTAGAGCTCTTTCATCTTAGACGTCTGAAGAAGAGGATCAAACTGACCTCGTTGATAAAGTTATGTCAGGCCCTTTGTCAAGGAGATATAGACTACTCCTCTCGTTGTCAATTGGTTTCGAGATGGAATCTCATGATTATTAATATGGTATCGGAGTTCAAAAGCCCAAACGAGCATCCGACCAAGATCAATGACCCAAAAGAGCCACGATCTTAAGGGGGCATGTTAAGAAGACATGGGTTACTCCTCTCGTTGCCAATTGGTTTCGAGATGGAACTCTATAATTATTAATATCGTTGAGCACCAGAGAGAATACAGCAGTCGGTTTTTATATAGAAAGGTTAAAACATTTTCTTTTTTGAATACTGGTTAAAACAATTTTGATTGTTGAACCATGTAATAATTTTCAATATGCTTAAGTTTATAAAAGCTCAATTGAATAGTCTTTTGATGAAAGTTAGGAGATTTCATAAGTTACATTCAGAAAAGTTGATGTAATTTATTTTCTTCCCCTTCCTGTTTTCCATTGTTTCCCATGTTCGCTTAACTAAAATTTTGTACCTTTCCTACTTGTTTCTTGTTTAAGGTTCCTAATTTTTTGTAGAAAGTTAAGTTTTTGGAAATTGTTCTGTTTTTTTTTAAGAAACACTTTCAAAATTGGATAGAAATTTTAGAAAAATTTTTTTTACTTTCTTGTTTCTTGTTTTTACTTTTTCTTTTCGGAACATAGATAAAAGCATTATTTTTCAATTTGTCTGATAAAATGCACGATAAAATATCAAATATTACATAAAACATAAAATACTTGAATATTTAATTTAAAATTATTTTTCATATAAAACTTTTACTGTTTTTTTTTAATTTAAAATTTTAGATAACAAAATAAGAAATCGTTATCAATATGTATCTTTTTTTTCCCAACAAAAAAGACAAGAATAAGAAAGAAGAAATAATGACTAAATACGATTTTATTTTCTTAATTGAAAAGAGAGAAACTAGAAACATGAAAAAAGAAATGGCAACGTTTATAAAAAAAAAAATAGCCTATACATACTTGACGCTTCACGCAATACATATACAGATAACGACAACTATTTTTAAGTGAGTTATGTATCTATTTTTGAGTGAGTTATGTATCTTAGTAATGAACACCAGATTCATAAGTCATGAGCACATGAGAGAATTTTCAATTATACGAGTCATTATTGACAATAAAATTAAAGCGATAAAATAGGAGATTAAAATATTGTTCATGAAATACAAATCATGAATAGAATCGGAGATTAAAATGACATACAATCCACCTAATTAAATTTGACGATGACTTCTAGAAGAGCATCCAAAATATTTAGTAGAAATTCAGAACAATAAGATAGAACTTGAAAAAGCCATATAATTTCACTAAATTGATTTATATTTCGAAAAAAAAAAGTGATCTAAAACTTGTTTAAAAGACACACAAAAGTCTTGGTCAAAGTTCAACAGTAATTAGCACCTATTCCTCTCATTGAAATTAGAGGTTCAAACTCCCATACTCACAATTTATTATATTAAAACAAAACTAAAAATTTTGGTCAGAGCAAATGAATATATTATTTGGTTAATTGATCCTGACCACCATTATTTTTTTTCCACTCTGCACATGTTTCACTTTATCTATGATAACAATTTTCTAACCATTGAACTTTGAAAACCATCGCCTTTTAGTGAGCAATTTATACACAACTTTGAAATAAAAGAAGCAATTATCGAAAAGAGGGCTGCTTGTTCATCCTAAATAATATATTTAACAGATTATTTCTCTTAAAAAAAATAACATTAATGAAGTCCAATGAGATTTAAACATTAATCAATTGCAAATCTATATTTGTATCTATATACTATTCTAGATTGTTTGGTAGTACATGAGTAAAGAAGCAAATATCAGTCACTAATATTTATAATTTAAATCCTCTTCATGTTGATAGAAAAAAAAAACAATAAATATTTATTTTGATTACTTTTCACTTTAAAAGGCAAGCATGTAAAATAAATATTTGTAGTGATTTTGATATACCTTTTAATTTAAGTACTTTTTTAAATACTTTTTATGAAAACATTTACAATAGAAACTATTTTAAGTAAAATATTTATATGTTTTGTTACATTTTCTTAAAGTTGATTTTAGTTACAAATTTATAGACATGCGGGAAGTTTGTCAGTCCGTTTAATTTATACACTTTTTTCATTATATTAAAACGCGTTTGGTTACATTTTCTTAAAAATAATTTTAATTGTTCCGGTATATTACATCTAAAAGTGATTCTACAAAGATAAAATTATAAATTAATTCTGTTCAATTACTTTAGAATCACCTTTTCGATGGTCAATTTTGTGTTTCTTCGAAAAACAATTTTAAACCAATTAAATTATTTCAATATGAATTTTATTTATTTCCAGCCCTTTAACATTTTCTTTTCCCTAAAAAGACTTTTTTGGCCCTCCAAAATCAGATGTCATGCCAAATACATCTAAAAAATATATTTGGGAGTGATTTTGATACGGTTAGAATCACTTTCATTAATTAATGTAGAAATCATGTTTGATAATGATTTTTAAAAAATACATGTTTGACAATAATTCTGGAGTGATTTTGAAAAAATCAAAAGGTGATTTTTGAAGTGATTTTTGGTCTAAAAAATTAATTTTTAAAATGATTATTGTCTTAAATTAAAATATTTTTTTTATTTCACCTCATTTTCACCTTAATTAAATTATATATATATATATATATATATATATATATATTTTTCCTTTCTCTGACTTTTGAACTGAGTCTATTAATTTGACAAGTAGGTGCCACTTGGACACATGCCACGTATAGGTGATGCCTTGATTGAGTTTAAAGACTGCCCCTACAAACTTGGCTTATACTAGTTTGATACTTTATCTCTCACTCATGCTTCCTATTCAAGAATCAATACCCACTCTAATACACAAATTAATTATTTCTGGTTTATCTTTATATCATGAGTCATTGAGAAGGAAGGTATGTCTCATATATGTATAGGTAGTATACAATCTTTTTAAAATTTTATCATCTCATACTTTACCTGATCTTATAATTGTTCTTATTTCAATGCAATGTCGATTCATTCAAATATCGTTTTGTTTGAATGTCACACTATGAAATCTTTTATACAGACAATAATCCACTTTATTAAATTAAGTTTTCCACCTCTTTATTTTGCTAAAAAGAAAAAGTTATAAGACAAAATTTATCTAATAGTGACGTGACAAAATCATTTAATTTCAAACACATCTTATAATTTTTCAACAACAAACATTTATAACACCTCACATAATACATATAGGCCAAATGAGGGAATTATTCATTAAATCCCACACAGAAACAAAACACTTTCACACAATTAAAAAAAAAAAAATTTACATATCAGCAACAGAAGGCAAAGGATTGACTGTAGAACAAGTGAGCCTAATTTCCCCATCGGTCCCCGTCTTGGGGCCGATATTCCCCATCTTCACCATGGACGCCCCAAATCCTGCGAAGAACTCCGCCTGGCTTCCGGCGAAGCGGTTGACGACGTCCACCGTGGCGGCGGTGGCGGTGGAGAACAGGACCTGGTCGCTGGTAAGAAGCCCGCGCTGGGCCTGCAGATTGGTGAAGTAGTTGTTGTCGAATTGGTCGGGAGTTGTCGGATCAAGATTGACACGATTGTCGTCCCCGCCCTGAGGGCAGGCCTCCAGAAGAACGTCTCTGTAGGTAGGGTCCAGTGTCGGGTCGGGGCTTTGGGTTCCGTTGAAGTTGTTCAGACGCCCACTGAAGAACCTGCACCTTGAACGCCCGAACGTGTGTGCTCCTGTTCAAAATTTTGCCCATAAACATTAAAAAAAAAAGGAACAAAAAAAAAAACTATTTCAACCCACGACCTTTTGATTGAAGATAAATACTTTAACTGGTTAGCCAACATAAAAACTTTGTATACCTCTACCGATATTTTGAAAACATCAATAGAAGTATAACTCTGTCAACGTTTTCAAGAAAAACGTTAGTAATATGTTCTCCCAATGCACTTTTGTCAACCTTTTTCTAACGAATATATATTTATCATTAGTAAAAATTGCTCCCAGCATTTTTTGAGTTTTGGGTCTTTTCCCAACGTTTTAAAGTACCGAGAAAAATTCAAATTCTTGTAGTGTACGCTTGTATTCAAAGTTTTACAAAATTTACAAATTTAATATTAAGGTGAATAAATTACTTAAACGCTAGTCAATACGAAACATAGTTCAATGATAAAGACATACCACCCATTCTTTGAAGTTGCATGCTAGCTAGAATTTGACTTTAATAAAACTTACATGACTTAGGTAGGTTTTGAGATATTTTGAAATCAAACAATAAATTTGATAAATGATAAGACAATTTCACACCAAAAGTCTTGTCTTTTTCTCTCTCTCTATCTAAAACCATGACATAACTTTTTACACACGATTTCCATCAAACTTCCAATTGATTCGTCATCTAATCTATCATCCAAAACATACTACTTTATTTCTAAACATTTTAGAAAATATATAAATAACAAAAAAAAACCCCACAAAATAGTAAAATTAATTATTAGTTTGATAAAGAAACATATGCATACCAGACAAAGCGACAAGATCAGTGGAATCAAGACCAACGTTAGCAAACATGGCAGTAAGATTTGCAACTCCTTCAAAAGGGCTGGGAAGGTTGCTCTCAGCTCCCGATCTATTAGCTATTCTGCTGTCTCTTCTTCCCAATGGCACCTCCCATCCCTCTCCTCCTGCCTGCAAATATATATCCATTTATAACCTCTCTTTGATCAGCTTGTTTTCGAACACAACCGACATATTGTTACCCTATTAGTTCACGTCATACAAACCCGACAAGCTTACCAAAACCACAGAAGCATTGGATGCAATGGCTAAGATGTCGGCGCAGGAGACGACGCCCGGGCAGGCGTTTTCCACCGCTGTTTTGATGTTCGCGACTATATCTTGGCCTTGTATCCCTTGGTTTCCCGGCGCGTTTTGCTCGCTGTCTATGCCGTCTGCTACCGAGTCTTCAAGTAGAACCGACCCATCGCATCCCTAAATATGTCAAGAATATAGTTAAACGTAGGATTTAAACTTTTAGATTTAGTAGTAATTCAGATAATAAGAAAGGAATATATGTCCAAACTCTTATCAATTGGATTAATATAACGATTAAATATATATTTTGAGAGAAGAGGGAGGGGTTACTTACGTTGACGAAGCAGTCGTGGAAGTGAAAGCGGATGAGTTTAGCACCAGCTCGGGCGTCGGTTTGGAGAGCTTGGGCCAATGCATTGCTGACGATGGTGGCAACGTCGGGGCATGTGGCGTCATAGAACGTCGGGCTCAGCTGTGCTGCTGCCGGCCCGGCAGCCATCAGCATGGCCGCGAGCAGAATAAAGGCTAATGCTTTGTAGAAAGCCATTTCTTTAACAGAGAATCTTTGAGGAAATTTTGTGTTCTGTGAAGAAGGGAGCCCCAGGCTTCTTTTTATAGAGGGACTATATATGTACGTATAGTATGAATGATTGAATTTTGGGGAAATATTTTTAGATTATCTTGTTTCTTTTTCTTACTCGTGTGTTTTGAAGAATTAGGGGCTATCTCTATTTTTTTTTACGAGGACTTTTTTTTTTATAAAAAAGTCAAGCTTAATTTTCTTTGTTTTATAATTATTTTTAGGAACATTTTTTAAATCTCTGCTAAATTTTATATATCTCTTTAATTTTTTTTTTAATTTTCCAAAATTGCTTATAAGATTTGAAAAAGTATTTTTATAGAGATTGTTGATAAGCAAACTTAATTTAAAAATTTGAAAAATAAGATTATTATCCAATAGGTTAGATGATAATACTATGACAGTTTAAGCTAGGGGAAAGTCTCCTTTAAAAAAAAAATTAGAGAAAAGTTTAACATCCGTTTATGAAAATAATTTTTCTTACTAATTAATAGTTTTTTTTTCTGAGTTTTTAATGGATCAAAAATACTTTTAAACTTAATTCAAACTAAACAAATATAATGTTAGAAAATGAAATTATTATGAAACAAAGCCATTATTTTAATTTTGTAAGTCAATATAATATTGCTTCACGTTTAGGGTCTTCTAGACAAGAGATTTTTCTTGTTCTGACAAATTTTCAAGAAGAGAGAAAATTCAAAGCAAAGTAGTTTGTGTGGGAGCGCTTGTGGGGAGATGAATAAGGATAGTATAACGCGCTTGGTGGAATCAGATCCAACGGTCACATCTTGACTTGGAAATGTTACCTCCACCGCCAATTTTGAATCACATTTTTGGATGTACCAAAACAAATAAATATTAAGAACATGTCTTTTGTTTAGGATAATCTTTTAATTAAAGTGATGAAGTTTATATTATAATGAGTAATTTTGTCGGTAGGCTAGGTAGTTCCAACACGGTATGAATCAATTTAGATGGATCATGAGGCACACCTTTATTCTTAATAGGGCACTTGAAAATGACCCAAATCGAAAGATACTAGAATAGTCTTGAAACTAGCCGTAGTTTCTTCCTCCTATAATATCTCAATTCCCATACATTTCTATCAACGATGGATTTATTTACCACTGATTTATGTCTATTAGTCTATATATAGTGATAAACATTTTCATTGGTGGTTAATGATAAACGTCTTCATTGATATGACACTAATGGATATCTATTAGTGATATACGTATGAGTAAGGGTGTTCACGGGATAGGGACGTCGAAACCTTCTCCTCGCCTCTCACTTAATTTGCTATTCTGCAAAAATTTCCCCAAAATTTTGAGATGATTGGGGTATGGATTCTCCATGGGAGTATTGTTGTTGTATTTAAAAATATTTTTTTAAAAAAATTATAATTAATTACTTAATTCTCAGGGATAAAATCTCCATTACATTGTTTATTTCTCCGGAAAAAAATCTTAAGACACCTAATAAAAATAATATAGTATTTCATTCTAGTAAGTTATCCATGTAAAAAGTAAACATATGTAATAAGTCCACAATTATTCAAAGTATCTATTAGAGATATACTTTCGTCTGTTAGTACATGTCAACCAGTGATGTATAACACTTACTCTTTTTTTTTTTAGAAAAGAAGAAATGAATGAAAGGAAGAAATGAAGGAAAAAAAGGGTTTATAATTATTTATATTTAAATGTGCCAGTGGATTGAAAAAAAAAAAAAGGAAAATTAAAGGGAAGCTACTCAAACTTCCGTGGGAAGTTTGTAAAATTAAAAGTAAATAAAGAAACTAAAAAAAACAAAAGAGAAAAGAAAAAGCAGATCATGTCGTGCGTTTAAAAAAAATTGTAAAAGAAGTGAGGGAGGGAGAGAGAGAGAAAAAGAAATGGAAAAAAATAGGGAGGAAGGAGGAGATAATTTTCAAAAGGTAATAGAAAAATCGCGGGAAATATTGTGATTAGTAACTGAAATATAATGGATTGAGAAAGCTTATAGATAAAGATTTCAAGTTCGGTAGGGCGGTTGTAGCTTCCCTAAAAGTCTTACTCAAGAATAATAAATATGAATTTACTTTCCTTGTGCTCAATAGTTTTTGTGGGTCCTTCATTTTTTATTTGGAAATTTAAAAGAGTGATCGAAGAAAAATATCAGTAGAAAAATTGTGGTAGATTGCTAGAAGCTAAAATTGGGTTTGAAAAAGCTTATAAATCAACGGTTGAGATTCAATAAACTTTCTCTCTTCGAGATTGTAGAATGGAAAAATTGGAGCTAAAATGACCATGTGGGCTTTTTATATATATCCTTCCACTGTATGAGGTTTACTTTACTGTGTTTTTGCTTAAAGTTTGGTTATATGGAAAGAGATTAAAAGAAAGTAAGTTGATGATTTGAGAGAGCTAGGGAAAATAATAGGTTGATAGAGTTTCATTGTGCTATATAGCAAGGGATTGAAATTGGAAATAAAGGAAGCATTGCTCCAAGAATAAAAGAGAGAAGAAGAAACGAGGGAAGAAGACGAGTATGTTCATACGAGATTTCTAGAGAAATTTAATTTGTGGAGTTGAACATATAACTTTGTATTAATGAGCAGGGCGCTTATTTTCATGTTTTGGGTCAGAGTCTTGTGCACTTGATAACCCTTCAAATCTTCCCAGTGTTCCAGTTTACTCAACTTAATTTCATTTAATTTGCAACAAATTCTCAACACAATGTTATAACAATAGAACAAAGAGAAAAATTTAGAATGATTAGTTTGGTTTGTAGCTAGGATGGATGGGATTTGAAGTAAGCCAAGAGAGCAAGAAGAGGAGCATTAATATAAGTAGTTGGCTCGGAATAGGCAAAATCAGGTCGAGAATCTGCATAAGAATCTTTAAAATCGGGCCCTCCAACCACAGCTCCTAACAGCAAATTAGGGTTTGGAGCGGCGCTGTGAAAGTATTGGTTCCCGCCTGCACATGCAATGCGCTCCGGATGGGTGGCGCTCGACGGCAGCGACGAGGCACGGTGGTGGATCCTCTCTGGAAATTTCTTCCCGTATCCCACCATATATGACATCCCCAAAGGATTGCTTCCTAATATATAATCCACCTACATATTATATATCAAACGTTAGATAAAAATACTATTTTAGTCTCTGTTCTCTTAGCTTTCGTTCATGTACTTCTAAGAAGGTTTATTTTGATCCTTTAATTTCAAAAGGTTATCTTAGTCCTGTTTTGCAAAATTTTAACATAAATTTTACCTATAACAGAAACTCTTTAGTATAAAATAATGTTTACACATTTTTAGAAACATATTGTTGATTGTAATGTCGTGTTGAAATTGTAATAGAAAAAATGAGGTCAAAAATAAAATGAAGGGACCAAAATGGTCATTAGTACCATGAACAAAATGAACATTTTGAAAATACATGTACTAAAATGAACAAAAATTTTAACAAACAGGGATCAAAATGAATCGAAAGGATCAAACTAATATTTTAACCTCACTGTTACTGCTCATCATAACAAGGGAAAAATATCAATCTTTACCCCTAAATTCTAAATTTGACAGTTTTGCCCTAGACATTCAATTTTATTAAATTGGACACTAAAATTAGTTTAAAGTGATTGATTAAATGAGAAGGTATCATTAAGGACAACGGTACCCTTCGTACCGCTTTGGGCATAGCTCTCACGGATTTGTTTTTTATTCCACCCAAAAAGTCTCATACCAATGGAGATAATTGTCCTCCCTTATACCATGGATCACTCATTTCCTTAATCGATGTGGGACTTTGTTTGCACTCTTTACAAACCCGACAGGTATGTCATGTTAATGATCCGATATCGAAAAGATCAAGAGACATAATAAGGTTTATAAGATATATGAGCTACTCTTCTCGTTGTAAATTTGTTTTGAGATAGAAACCATGAATCTTGATATATATACCCAACCTTATTCGAGTCTAAGGTTTAATATGATGAAATTAAAAATTTATGGAAAAAAAATGATATGCCTTGTTAAGTTGAGAGTTAAAATTAATATATTCTCTAATAATAATTTATTTTCTTCAAATATAATAATTGAGGAGTGACTAATTAACAGATACCTGGCCTTTGGCAACTTGTACAAGGCGAGAGGGAGGGATTACAACATTTCCACAGTGAATGAGGCGTTTGGATTGGTTGATGTATTGAGAGTAAACAAGAAGAAGAAAAGATAAGGCTGTTGAGTGCTGCATGTTACTTCCTCCAGGTTTGAATAGAAGCCCACCTAATTTGATTGCAAATTACAATTAGCATTTTCTTTCCTCCCTAAACAATCCATAAAATGATGGGGTTAAAAATTACAAATTCCTTCTCTTGACTTTTTGATGTTACATTACAAGGTTCCTTCTTGTTTGAATTGTGATTTTATGTAGTTAACTTCATTATTTAAATAATGATATGGTATGTAAAGTTTGATTTGGCTAGTTGTGGTAAATAGGTGACCAAAAGATCAAATGAACGTTCAATTATTAATTATTAAGGATTTCACGTTGAAAAGATAAAAGACCTAACAAAGGTTTATAATATAGACATGGGCTACCATTCTCCTTGTCAATTGGTTTTGAGATGAAACTTCGTAACAATAACAAATTAAAGTGACGCGATCTATACAATTAGAAAAGATTGTGTTGTGCGTGCTACTTTAATTTTGTCCAATATAAGTGTCGTTATATATTACCAAATCAATTAACATTTGTGGTTCTAATACTAAACCATATAACTTATTAATATGTAATCAAAGTTTATTATAATTTAAAAGTGACCAACTGGATATTAACCATTAAATTTAGTGACTAAACTTGTAATATAATTGAAACTTCGATGAGGATGACACATCAATACAATCCACCTCAGCAGACCAATCACACCTCCAGCTCAACAGGGTGAGAATATACTCATGAAATTAACTCATGTGGAAGATCGCTAAAAGAAGAAAAAATGCAATTTAATTACCTGGTGAGTAAGAGACTGATAGAGAGGGCGATTCAGGGAGAAGTGTGCATACAAACTTATCAGCATTACTGATAAAGATATCAGAAGTATCATTTCCACTCATCACAAACTGCGATAAATAATAGGGTTAATTAAGATTTAACATCAGAGTTCATTATGTTCATTATGTATTGTCTTTTGATTCTTTGATCGATTTAGTTATTCGAGACAGTTCTCGAAATAGGCTTGTGTAACTGGAGATTATTAATTGAGCGAGATGTACCTCTCCTGTCTCATGTTAGTTGGAAATTGGAATATAATGTTTATATAGCTGATCTTTTTTGTTAATTGATAAAATAAGGACTTTACATAGGTTTATAATAGAGATTGAGACTACTTTGCCAATTAATTTTTGATATTTTTATCAACACGAATGAATTTTAGAAATGAAAATACCTTGGAAATGAGGACATTAATCCCTGCATCCTTAGTATCCCATCCAAACTCAGCAGAGTTTTGTATTTTGTTGATGTTTTTGGTGACATAATTCCAGTAATATGCAGCCTTTGTTGCCTTGAACAACCAAGCAGCTCCCCATATCAATTCATCCTACATCACGATTATGGAGTTTTTTTAGTTTCAAAATCATTTTAAAATTTAAAGTAAATTGTGTGGTGGGTAAATTGTTTTTTGAAAAGATAATTTGTTTAGAACTTTGAGAAATGCATATGTATATTAGACCTCATAGCCGCTGAAACTGCAATAAAATGGACAAACCCAACGTCCAAGACTCTCGTTGTAGGATCCTCGGTATGTATCTGCAAACTCAAAAACCTAAATCCAAAAGAAAACACAAAGATTAAAAAATTAAAAAAGATAAATATAATTCTAAATAAATAAAAACAATCCATTCCAAACTATATAAAAACCTGTGTAATCCATGCATAAGATTCTTAACAAACTTCAACCGATAAAAATGTTTGAGGTTTGAGTCTTACTCGCAAATGTTTTGAGCTAGAAAACTATTACAAATTCCTCTTTCATTTAAATATTAGACTAAACATATAAAATGGAATACCTAATGTTCAAGTAAATTTCAATTTATTTGTGATTTTTTGTAATTATTATCCAGTTTAACTTACATTATTCTCTCTCGACATTGAAATAATAATAATAATAATAAAATTAAAAAATTGTTAAAATTTAGGTTAAATTACAAAATTGGTCCATGAATTTTGCGAGTTTGGATTTAATGTGTTTTTTTTTTTCTGACAAATTTTTGTTGGGTTTAATAACTCATTAAACTTTAAAAATTAAATATTTAAATAGATACCTGTTTAATAAACCTTTTAAACTTGTATTATCTAATATCTAATAAGTTTTAAATTTTAAATTTAGTGTCAAATAGATCTTCGAATTGCAAGTAAAAGCACTAAATTTATAATTTTAGCATTTTTCTTTTTAAGAAAGGTTAACACTATCTGTAATTAACATATGGTCTCTTCACTTGAAAAATCTAACATAAGAAAATTAAAAACCTCATTTTCTATGGTACCCTTCTTTCAATATTATTATCATATTTCATCTCACATCCATTCAAAATGTGAAAGAAGGACAAACTATTATTGAACTATTTCAAATCTATATTTGGTGGTTATTAAGAGCATTAAGATTTTTGAACCTACCTCTAACCCGCAGTCATAATGTAACAACCTCATTTAATAATTTGTCGGGAAAAAATGGCATAGAGACGATGAGACATGCACTCACCATTCTAGCCCTTTTGAGAAGCCTGGCGGAGTACCCTCTATCAGCGGCCCTAAACACAAGGGAGGAGGCGGCCAGAGCGGCGGCGATCTCAGCCGATACTTCGGAGCCGGGAAACTGCTTGCTGACGGCATAAGGAGTTCTCGGCGTGTCCATATCTTCGGGGCGCTGCCAGCAGTCGTGGTCGGCAAAAGGGTCGCCGACCTGAGCGAAAACAAGGCCGGGAAGCGCCGTGGCCTTGAGGAAGTAATCGGCGGCCCATCGGACGGAGTCGAGGGCGTGGGGGAGCTCCGAACCCATCAGTTTTCCGAACTCCAACACGCTCCACGCCACCATGGTGGTGCTGAACGCCATCGGAAAGTTGAACTTCACGTTGTCTCCGGCGTCGTAGTACCCACCCACCAAGTCAACCTAACAAACCCATTCGCGCCAACCTCAAAACTTTTAATTTTGGACCTTCTTCTCATATTGTTATTCAATTTTCTTCTATTAAAAATAAAGATTAATAAACGGAAAATATTTGACTCTTTACCGGTGAGAACCACTACCGTTGAAAATTTGACCATTCTTTATTTTTTCAAAAAAAGTCTATGTTTTTTGATTTTTCATTCTGGTTGTCAAACATTTAATAGTAGTGAGGACAATGTTGTTTTTTTTACCGTTAAAGAACCAAGTCTTTTCCTTAATAAACTACACGTTTTTTACTCCAATTTTGAAGACTGTGTCTATTTATTAAGCAATCTTGCCCTCGAAAATATTCTTTTAAAAAAATAATGAGTTGTCAATTTTTGAATAATGGTGAGGACAAGATTTACTCCTTGACTCCTCGTCAAGGAGACTAAGTATTTTCTAAAAAAGAATATGTGTTTATATATATTGAATTAAGAAAAAAATTGTGCAAAAATCAACCAACCAAAAGTTACCAGTAATGATATTTTTATAAAGACATTGTGTTAATTACACGTGGTAACTAACTAACTGATACGAATTGATTATTGGAAAATAAAGCAGATGGTTACACAAAATAAATAACACAGGTATTCATGTTACTGCATATATTTTAATATTTTATATATGGGTATATATATTCTTAATGTTGTTCCTTATTCGTGAGTTTGAAAATTAATGTACGACCTGAATACAAACGTGATTTATAATTATTAATTGAGAAAGAAATAACATTAACAATGGTTTTAAATACACGACATATTTTACTATGATATTATGCTTTTATTTTTTTTAGTCCAAGAGGAGAAAAGAGTTGTCTTACACCAATCTCGAGCCCATCACGAAGAGCAGAATCCTTCCTCCAAGTGACCCTCTGGGTAGGAGGCAACTTTCCCGACCTCTGACCTTCAAAGAACAATAAGCTTTTAGTCAAAGCATCTCCATAGTCATGAGAAGTCACAGCCATGGCGGCCTTGGCCATCACCACCATCACAATCACACCAACAAACTTCTTCAACAATCCCATTTCTTCTCATCTCTCTCTTCACCACATATCAAAAACTTTAGAGCTTTATATAATAATTCACATATCCAAAATAAATAATAAATAAATAAAAAGATTATGAATGTATAAAGCAAAAAGGAAGAGTTCTATTGCATTCACTTAGCTATGAAGCATTAGAAATTCTTCTTCTATTGCTGTCTTAAAGGTAGGGTTGGATGCTGAGTTTTAGAGTTGCTTATAAAGGGGAATGAATGGTCTCTATTTTTTAGTTTTTCGTGCTTCCAATGCACTTTTTTTAAGTTGACAAAGTGAATCAATTAGAGCAAAATCTAGTCTTTAAGTTTTGTTGTCTTTTTTATGTGTGTTATTATCTTATATCCATGCACGTCGGCTTCTCTAAATTTCTGGTTTTTGGTCAATGCTCTTTCATTTCACTAAAGATTGTATCACATAAGAACTAAATATTATGTCAAACTTTTCGTACATTAATGATATAAATTCAGCATTTCATGTTTTTTATGTGGTTTTCACATTAAATTAAGAGTATACTTGTCTGACGATTCATGTAATTCGTTGTGTACTTCAATAATAAAATATGTTATCTATTATCTTTTTTTTTTTAACTCTATAACTTATGGGATAGGAAAGTCTTCGAACAATTTTTAATATATTATTAAAATGAAATATTATTGAGTGTTACTTTTGTAAATGAAAAAAAAAATGAATTCAATGCCCTTATTACTATAGTAGGAAACTGATGATATTTGTTAACATATTTTTCTCTTTTGGTTTAAATATCTACTTTAAACTTTAACTCATTTTTGTGTTCGATTGTGTGATTGTGCTTTCAAAACGTCTATTTTTTATCTCTATAATTTTCAAAATGGATTATTTTGATCTATTTATTTTTTCATTTTTTTCTGTTGTTATTATAATTTTAACATGACACTAAACTAAATTCTTTAAAATGTGTAGTCATTGGGCTATTTAAATAGTAGATATTGCCAACTTTCAGGTTTCAATACATGTACACTATACTAAATTAATGTTTTCAAATGAGATTATTACCCACTGGATTTCTTTTCTATATATGTTTCACACTGCTGTTACAAAATTTCTTACAAACATTAATTTTTTTAAAAAAATAAAACCAATTACACTTTAAGAAAGAGACAAAAATTTGAACACCTAAACTCTCAAAAGAAGCTACAAATACCTTGATCAGTAGAATTATTCTCAAGTCCGCTCTGTTAATCTACAACCTAGTATTGCATGTCACGTGATTTGTTAAAAAGAAAGATAACTAATTCAGGCGACGCAAAAAAACAAAAACAAAAACTACAAGGTGGAAATATTCTCAAGACAATAAATATTTAACACTGAAAAAGGCAACTAAAAAGAAAATGGTACTTCAAATCTCGCACCACCAGTAACACTAACTAAGAAAACAATTACATAGGAACTAAATTATAAATTTAACCCAAAAAAAGAACTTCTATATTTACAGATACTGTTAATTATAGGCATAAATATATTTCTTGATGTAATGGTTAAGGTAGTTTTATTTTTTCAGTAAGTACATCCCATCTCTCAGTTCTAATTTCTCTTCAGAAATAAGGCCACATAAAAAGCTCTGTAGCTGTTGGATTGACTTGTCGTAGGAGGGGTCTGCTACACAAAACATCTGCACAAATATTTTTATTAGTTAGCCCCTTGGATTCTTCACATGACATCCAATTAGTATACAATTCTTACCTTGAGCGTATTATGAATTCGATCTAAAGCCATACTTCCAAAATTTTTTAGCATCCCGATGATGAATTTCTATTCAGAAAGGGACCAAATAGAAAGAACAATAGTTAACGACAAACTCCATTTGAAGATGAAAATGACATTTAAGGAAGCATCTTCAGAATCAGAATTAAGATGCTTATTTTGTATGGACTAGAAGTGCAAGTATTTGAAAGCAAATAGGCCAAACGTTTGGTGAAATATGGCATACCAAATATGGCATTCGATTAGTTACCTCGTAGACGGTCATCTCTTTACGTAGTTGGTCCTCAACAGAAGTAACAGAGCCCTCTCCCTCATCCTCACCAACCATGAGGTCCTCGTTATTGCCATTGTTCGAAACATTTTTACTTGTGTCAATCATACTTTCTACGAGGACGTATACATGGTCGGTGGAATCTGTAGCCTGGGACTCTGTGAGAATTCCCTTTAATAGAACCACATATGAAAGAATTAGTTTCCTTGCAAACTGGGAAGATAACTTTTACTATCTTGGATTTCACCAAGCGTACTTTTCACCTTTGAAAATAATCTCTTGTTTCTACAAAGAATCTCAAACACACCTTATTAACCCAGAAGTTTATCCGCCGAGTAAGCACATCTACCGGCAAACCAATGGCAGCCGCGAGACTCTTAGCACTCCAACTGGAAAAAGAAGGGGAAAAAAAAAACTTCATATTAAGCCACGTGTATATTATACACCAAGCATAACAAATATTCGAGCTAAGTTAAAAAGAATCTACCTTGTTTGATTTTGAAATTGCATAATCATTACCGCATGAACTGGAGCTACAGTGAACTGCAATTCTCTATCTTCGAATTGCAACTCCAACTACGACGGATGAACCATACAAACGTTTAAGGTGAAAGGTAAGAATTGTCATGATTTCCCTCCAAGCATTAAAATAGTTTGCACGTATTCATATTCACATAGATGATGATCTCAGTAGACTGACCTTTACTGTACCAAGATTTTTCTTCCATTGTAGCTTACGGGGGGTCTTAATTTCATTAAACCTCTGAGCATAATCTGAAAGCAGATGATCCACTGGTGCAGGTAGGTTAATGTTCTCGTCCTAAAATACTTTATGGTCAGAAGGTTAACAAAGGAAAGTACAATATCCGAAATCTATTTATTTACAAGTCCTGATAAATAAAGAGTAATCCTCCCACACAAACACGCTCACAAAAAACAAAAAAAAAAGGTCCATTTATATGAGTAGAAATCTCCTCCCAATCTTTCACTGCTAAGACAACTAATTCATCATCATTCAATATTGGGCAACGAGTCTTCAAAGTTCTGCATAAATAGCACCCCATTTTCATGGTAAAATATTTACTCACCTGAATTGGAGGCCAGAAATTTGAAGACATGATAGTCGCATCAAGGTCATTCATTGATATCATACTGTCCTTGAGATCAACAGCTAAAAGAACATACATCAAAAGTTAGTACTTTCATAGTATAAAGTGATACTTCGGTTGAGATGGAAAGAGTGCCAAAAGAATATGATGATCAAGAAATTTTTGAGGGGCGAAAAAAGAAAATTAATCATCCTTTTAACTTTTAATTCATTGGTGACGAGGGTAAGTAGGTGCACTAGGACATCCAAACTAAGTTGTAATAACTTTAGTACTATCATTATCTGGTTCATCTCAATGTAATATTTTCTTTTTTTTAGAACTTGGAGTTGGAGCTTTGCTCCCCTATACCCACAGACACCCAAGCCTACTCCAAGGCCCACGCCCGAGAGACATCAAGAATTTTTGGTATTAAATTCCAAAGAAGGTTCGAACTTGAGACTTAGTCTAAGTCAGTATGACCAAGAGACCTCAAAACTTGAAAAAGCAGAACCAACTTTTTGTGTGGTACTCCTTTTCTTTGTAGAGCTGGCAAAGGATCTTAAAAGAATTTGACTTACGTGGTGCTTACTTGGACTGTTCAGGGCTACTCGTAACAGAATTAATGCCATCACTAAGCAAAAAGCTAAAGTTTTGTGAGTAAACGCTGTTTTGGCCATCTTTTGGGATGTTTTGGAGAGAAATCGCAAGATTTTTGTTGAATCATCGAGAGGTTACAAAATTTCTTGAAATCATATCAAATTTGTACTCTTTCTACAGTTATTTTCCCAATATTTTTATAATTATGATTCCTTCTTGCTTAATTAATTCTCTTGATTCTGTCCTCAGCCAGGAGAGCAGCCAGGAGGCTGGAGAGCTGGAGAGCTTGAGAGCACTCTTGACTCTCTTCCTGACAGGTGCAAATGTCCAATATCAATCTCTTAAGCTCCCACCCCCATTTAACCATACTCTCTCTCCATTTTGCAAGTAACTAACCATAACTAACTTCTTTACTAGAGGTTGTACGGCCTACAATTACCAATTTGCCCAACCTGACTGCTCAAAGTCTCCCTCTACTCCTGTTTCTTACAACATACCCAAGATAAGTAAATCGGAGGCATAACAAAATAACCGCATGATGTTTATCAACATACCTTTTTGAGATGGCAAGTTTATTGTTGCTTTAATATTAGAGTTCGTCCTCTTGGAATCAATTAGATCATTTAGCATAATTTCACACTTCTGCATGCTACTTTCTCCAAAATGTATCTGGAAAATGATGAGGAGATAATAAGATAAAAAATTTGAACACAAAAAAAATAAATAAATAAAAATGAAAAATCCATATTTCTTAATCTCAAGATGTGTCAATTGCCGTTTCCGAGGGAGAACCTTAAGTAGTTCTAATGTTCGTATCTCTGAATCGATGTCATAATCAGACTTATTTAAAAGCTTTTCTGCAAGCATGACGCGGTATTCATTGACTAGTTGGTCTTTTGAACCAATTATGCTAACTAGCATCCCAAGTATGTCGACCTTCCTTCTAGTCCTCCCACCCTTCAATGGATCAGCTTCTACAGGGTCAGGCTCCCATCTGAAAAGTTAGAATCCATTGCTTCATTTAAAATGATAATGAAGAATCCATAATAGCAGCTTAGCGTAGACTTAATAAACGGTTCATCCTAAAACACTCTCCATATACACGTACCGTGAAGAATTTATCCAGGCTTGCCTGTCATCTGTGTGAAAATCATCATCTAGACCGACATTGTCTTGACCTTCTTCATCTCTATTTAATTCTTCAAGAAGGCTATCACCAGTATTGCCAGATACATTTGAATTTCCACCAGTCCCGTCAGTAAGCATGGTGACAATGCATTTGATGGTATCTTTCCTTCCCCTTAAGTATTCCCTTATTGGTTCACCAACTGCTTCAAGAAAAACACCTGCTGAGTCGATTGTGCGAAGTGCTTTGATAGTAGAAACATATTGATGCAATATATCATTGGTAGAAGCTCCAGCAGTAAGAAGGCGATATCGTAGTGCCGAGATGAAAGATTCAACAAGCTTAGAATGTTGTCCGGTGTATTCAAGACACTGTTTTAAATCTTCAATTGCAGGAGAGCTGATATCCAAGGAACAATATGAATTTAAAAATAAAACGTAATAAGAACCAACTATTTTTAGATATTTCAGCAAGGCTAAAATATTATTTAACAAGATATTCAACAAGATTGCCTAAGAGTGTTTTGACTCGAACTAGTCCGACATCTCATATTTATCAAAGAGATTACAATAATAATTAGAGTGAAGGAATCTCGAAAGAAAATAGAAAGTCAGCTACACAAATGTAAGTATGCATAGTTACAAGACTTCTATATGAAATCATAAGATATTGTGAGTTAGAATAGACTATCAAATTAGACTTAGAAATTTCTTTAATTGTCCCGATAAGAAGCATGAGGCAAGACCATTGTCATGTTTATGCCAAGTTCTTGTCCAAGCCAAGGAAAGATTAAAATCACAGCTTTGTTGACATACAGGCATATTGCTTGACCAAGGTGGTTGGACTCAACCACATCCAATCAGAGGCATGCCTTAGCTTGTTCTATAACCTAAGTAATGAATCACCTTGCTCACATGTAGTTGGACACATGAGATGTAGAAGTGGTCCGTCGTAAAAGAAGTTTGTCACGCCAAGTGGCAGGGAGGGTTTTGAGCTCATACACAGTCCTTACAAATTTCTAGATATTTCAGTAAGGATAAAATATTGTTTGGCCATTACATGAAGCATAACATTTTTCAATTTGATCCCTAATATTTTTTAAATTCCATTGTTGTCCCTAATATTTTGAAGTTTTTCAATCAAACTCCTACCTAATAATGTCGTTGAAATTGAATAGCAAAATGGTAACACAACTTTTATTATTATTTTATGTTAAATATGAGTTCACATTTATTAAATTTTAAATATCTATCTTACCCCTACCCAACTTAAATATCTATCTTACCCCTACCTAACTTAAATATCTATCTTCCCCCTCCCCACTAGTGAATAAAATAATATTTTAGTATTCTCTCTTGGTTTACTGTTAAAATGTTATTTCATCTATAAAGTTTTTGTTCCTTCCTTTCTAAAAAAGAAAAATGCTTGTATTAGGATCATGATGGCTCATAACAGAATGATAATGTAACAGTGATTACCATCCAATTTGAAATGAAAGAAACTATTTGACAACCAGTCAATCACAAAATATCCAATCAAAGGGAAACTAAGCAATCGAACTTACTCAAAATATAGAACGAATTACCTGTCAGGATAATCCACTATTATTTCAAAAAGTTTAGCAATCCTCAAGTCTTGCAAAGTTTCATATGCAAAATACTCCAACCGTGACTGCCACCTAATAAGTCCTTCAGGAGTATTAACTCCAGAATTGATTGAAGATGCATGGGGAGCCAACGGTGATTTCAAACTAAACAAAGAACTACTGTTACCAGCAGGATTGCCAAGATAAGCAAGAAGGGAATGCAAAAACTGGAGTGGCACAGCCTGTACACAACCCAAATAAACAACCATTCATCAGCGATACAGTTTAAAAAAATTATCTCCAGAAGAAAGCCAGGAAAATATTGTATGAAATAGTAAGGGATATCAAAATTGGAAAATAATTTACTCTGAAAAGCTAGTGATACTGTTCTGATTATTGAATGAAAGATTAAGAATCCCTCACTAATTTGACCAGTGAAATACAAGACAACAAAAGGACTGAAGAATAAGAGAAAAGAAGGGGATTAGGAATATACAAGAAATACCCAACAATAAAAAACCAGCTAAACACTTCCAATAAATACTAATAAGGAATAGGTCTTAAAACTACCTTCATAGAAAAACAGATCTCTACAATCCCGCCGAAGTTGGGTATTGTATTTTGATCAACCTAACTCAGAATTTAGATCTTCAAATTTAGTTCTTGGAGGAGCTTTGATAAATCTGTCAATAGCTTGGAAATTGGTTGGAGGGTAAAATAAACATAGTACGATTAGGGATGTAAGAAACTAAACCAAACCGTTTAATCTTATCGGTTCAGTCCTAACCAAACCGTACCGACCAGCTTCGGCTCTGTTAGTAGTTCAACATATCATACGTTGAATTAAGTCAACCTGCATTGATATTACTTCTTAATTATTTATGTTAATATTATGTTATGTTTGGGAGGAAAAAAGAACTATTTCTGCCTTATTCATTGACAGTTTTGAAAGTAGACGACCAATTCTCCATTTTACTTTTCTTAAAAGTGGAACCCTAGCACTCTAACCCCCATCCATCTGCCGGCTTTCTTCAACATTTGCAAACCCCACAACTATCTCTCTTCTCACGCCACTCTCTTGCCATTGAGCAACCATCATGGGTCAGATTCATGGCTAGCACACAATTCACAAATGTACTACCTTTATCCAGTCTTTGATGGGCTCCAAAACAGAGCTTCTGTAATCATCGCCTGCAAGATAATCAACTTTTGCCTGCCAAAAAAATAGGAAAGCTAGAATGAACCCAGTAAGAATGCAAGTACGAAGAAGACTCCTATAAAGTAGGTGCCATGTACAAAATGAATAAAGAAACAATATTGGATCATATAGAGGAAAGGAAAGGATTCCGTAAGGAGGCATATTCACCTTTAGAAGTGAGAATATGGCAGAAGCATAGGCATCTTCGGCCATAGATGTAAACCCAAGACTTCTGAGATCAAGAACAACCTTCCCAATGTTCTTCACTAATTTATCTATATTAGAAAACTTCTCCAACTGATAGCTTTCATCAAAATCATTTTGACCATTCTTGCTGGAGATTCTACCTTTTCCATCTAGATCCATATCATCTTTACATTGAGACTGATAATCTTCATTTAATTCTCCAGCCATGATAGCACTCAACTCTTCCAGCTTTCCCTTAAAATACCAGTGGAGCAAATCTGAAAACATATAACTCTAAATTAAAGAAACATACATTATAATTACAAAATTACAATTTACAATAAGTTAAGAAAGTTTAAAATAAAAAAGGCTATATCCCAGTTTGAACAGGGGAGCGTTGATGTACAGGAATGAAGTTTTATGCAAATATGCAACCATGAATCCAGTTATGGAAGATGAAGAGATTTTCCTATTCCAACATCATAGAAATATTTAAGAGCTTGAGTAAACTTTGAGAGATATCTATCGAATGTTAGACACAAAAGCTTATAATCATCTAAGAAGTAAGCATGCAATACCATCTTAAAGGAAGCAAGAATTCTCATTGATCGTTGAAAAGTTACAATAAAGTAATAAGAACCCCTTCAGGGTTAATATCATTTAACAAGATATTCAACAAGATTGCCTAAGAGTGTTATGTTATCTCCCTCAAGATAAATACCCCACAAAATTGCAAAGGAACAAGACTGCCAGAGAAATCTCCCTTTATTCCAAAAAGGGATGTAAAATGACCTCCTCTAACATAGACCGGTAGTCTCTAATTCAGGCCAATGATTTTTTGAGATAGTAAAGGTATTAATGGGCTAAATTACCAATTCGTGGTGCATTGGCATTAAACGCATAGGCCATAGGTGCACTTTTTAAGAATATGGAAAATTCACAATATTATTTTAATCATGAGGCATAAAGACTCAAAGTTTTAGTTTGTTGTTATGAAGGCCTAAAGAAAATATAAGACTGAAGTAAGATTTTGAACCTCACCCTGAGACATGGCATAAGCATCAAAAGTGTTTTAAAACATTGACAATTAGACAAATTCCAACTTATATTAAGGTCAAAGTGCCAAAGAAATTAGATAATGGTTTATGTAATGAGTAAAGAGTAATTGGTAAAATATAGGTACCTGGAAAATGTCGGGGAAGAGTAGCCATAAGAACTGAGGAAACAAGTAGTTGATATTTGGCAAAGAGATAAACTCTTTCAGTTTCAGCCTCATACTGACGTCCTTTCTCCAATGCATCATATTTGTACGACTGTAAAGCATGAACCAGTACTGACAACAACTCCTCCTGAAATTTCTTTTTCAAGGAAATCTCTTCTAAAGCTTTACATAACACTTCCCGAACTTCCTCTTCTGAATGCTGAGTTTAAAATGGTTAATATCAGGTAACTCATGGAAATAACTATTTTCCAACTTAACACAGCACTATTCTTTAAACAAGTTCACTAACTAATAGGCAACACAAGTTCATACAAGTCGCAAAATAGGTGTCTATATAGGTGGGAGAGCTTTGTGCCAACATACAGGGGGGTTGCAGGCGTTGGAAACTGCAATATTCTCGTAGGCCTCAAAATGTCCCCAAAATTCCAAGGCACCATTTTTCTCGAAATTTTCCTGAGACCCAAACACCATATATTGCTAACAATTAAAGAGAAAAAATGGAAAAAAAAAATCCCCAAAAAACCACAAAATAAGGAACTGTTTACGAGTAGCTAAGAAAAATGACATAAACTGGTGCGCATAACGGGTAAGTTGTAAGAGACGCATTGAGGCAAAGAAAATACCTGTAGTGATCGAAGGAAGAGATCGAGGACAAGAGATTGGAGGCCGTGGTTGCAGAGGGATTGAACGTGAGCGACGAACTCCGATCTCAAGGATAGATCTGCAGTGCCATTAAGAAGCGCGTCGGTAGCAGCACAGAATTGGGCGTAGCCATTGAGCAATTCCTGGATTTCATCGTCGCTGAGGGAATCGAGAGCCCCTAAATTACTCAAGTAGGAGCTGGATTCCACCATAATTGTTCCGATGGAACTTACTTTTGCTACTGGGAAGTGAAATGGCCAGCTCTGGTTCACGAATGGCGACACTAGAGGGTTTTTGGTTTTTTTGGAGGGTTTTAAGGGTAGTTTTTAGATTTGCCGCCACTTCCGTTTCCTATTTATAACTTAAATAAATTAGGAAAAAATACATTTCTAGTGAGAGTGCCGACTTGATTCTTAAGTTTTGAAATGAACCATTTTGGTTTTATGTATCAATCACATTTAATCTCCAAAATTTGAAAATGTGTTCTAAATAGTCCTCAAGTATTCTCTGACCTTTCAAGCTTTATGTGGACCGAAAGTGTGTACTTTAAAACGTCTGGGACCAAATAAATACCTATTCTAAACTTCATTGACTAAAAGTGTTTATTTTTCCCAAAAAGTAATTTTAGAATTAGCAAACTTTTAATATTGTCGGGAGAAAAAAAAGTTCAATTGTCTATTTGAGTGAATTCTACACAAATAGATAGGCTAATTACTAAATGTGGAGGAGTCAAACTCGTGATCATTTAGTCTCAAATGTATGTCAATTACCATTGAATCTACTGAATTCAACTCACGTTGACTACGTGTAAATAATTTATATACTATGAAGCGTACAACTTAGGACCTTCAACCCACCCAAATCTTCAATTGATAACCGCAATTGGAACTAAAACCCCTTTTGAGTCATTTTGAAATATGTTTACCTTGGAATAAATCATTTACCTTTGGAACAAATCATCCTTGCCAATTGGTTCTTGTGGAAGACATTAGTCTGTCAATTTGCATATGCATAAATATTAAAAGGATAAGAAACTGAGTCAAACCAACCCGAATTGAGTTGGTTCGGTTTGAATCAAATTGTCGGTTTTACACAAATAATATAAACTTGAGAAATTTATTTATTCTGTAAACATCTCAGGACATTTTGGTAAATTAAAATGAAGGTTAAAAGACACTTTCAGTGGTCAAGGTATTTTATTTTTTTCTAAAAATTGGCTTATATTTCCAATTAGGAAGTCGTGAATTCAGATAAGAATGTTTTTTTTTTCTTTTTACAATACCATCTTGTTTATGTATTAATAAGTGCTGAAGTTGGTTGTTTTAATATGACTTGATTGCGTACGTGTTTCTAATAGCTTAATATAATTCCAACTCAATGTTGATAACCATGTTCTTCTTTATCCCTCTTCTACATATCCCTACCGTTGACCCTAAATCATTTAAATTGATTATCCAATAAGCTTTAGAAAAACACTAAACTACAATTAAAAAAAAATTCCCAAGACCCAAATAAAATATAAAGAAATATTTTGTAAAACATAATAGAGGATATGGGTCCAAACCATAACTCGGTGGTAATTAACATCTATTCAAATCTTGAAATTTCTTTTTCGGTTAAGATTCATGTAAAGTTGTAGAATAAAATGAACTTTCAATTAAGTATACCTCGACAATTAGTTTCTAATTGGTTTTTGGCCGTTAAATTACAAATTTAGTCTTTTAAACTTTCATTAATGTATCTAATAAGGTTCTTGAAAAGTGTTTAATAGGTCACTAAATTTTCAATTAATGTCTAATGTGCCCAGAACTTTAAAATTGTCTATTAGGTCATTTAACTTTCAATTTTGTGACTAGTAAGTCGTCATTTGATTTTACTAGAGTCTCCGACCTATTCGTCATTTTTCAAATTCATGGACCTATTACACCAAAAAGGTTAAATTTTGTGTCTAATAGAATCATGAATTCTCAATTTTGTGTCTAACATGTTTGTAAATTTTAAAAAAAATGTCGGAATAAGTTAGTGACACCTATTAGACCCTTTTGAAATTCAAAAATTTAGACATAAAATTGAAAGTTTAGAGATTATTAGATATAAAATTAAAAGTTGAAATACTTATTAAATACTTATTAAAATTTAATGTCGCTTAAACACAATCCTAAAAATTTGAACGGTAATTTAATTTTGATTTTTGGAGGATATTGGACTTACTTTCTTTTTCTTTTTGGGAGAAAAGGCTTACCTCCTTAACAAGAATGAGGTACAATGAAGTATGATGTTGTTGTTATGTGTCATTTCCCTTTTTAATGGAAAATAATGGACTGATTATCAAATTGTCGTAACAAACATCGAGAAATTGACAGTTTATTAGCTTTTTTTAAAAGTCTATATTTTTGTAATTTTCTGTCTTAGTTATCAAATATTTAACGATGGATTAGAAAAAAATTGGTTCTAACTCATAAAGAGTTAAGTATTTTCCATTTTGAATTACACGAATAAAGAATTTATAGACTTAAATTTGTATAACTCTAGTATTTAAGTAGCATGTAGTATTAAAGGTGAATTTTACATAGTTTTGAATTTTTGCAACATAAATTTGGTTATATTAGGATTTGTTTGGGAGTGGTTTTGCCATGACAAAAATCACTTTTGTCATTGTCAAAATCACTTTCATCTCATTAATAGTGTTTAACAAATTCAAAAATTGGTTTTAAGAAAGCATAAAATCATCTTAAATTGATTTTTAAAGCATTCATACTTGAATGATAATCTTGGAAAATCAATTATATATAAATCTATTTTTTCAAAATCGCTCATTCTACCATTATTCCCAAAAACACCCTTAGTTTATGAGATAGATAAACTCATTTTTAAGATAAACAAATCTCACATATCAAATACGAAATGAAATTCTRTTTTATTCCTAACCATAAACCTTTTTTTTTCTGGATTAAAAAAACATGAAAACATACGAAGTTTGAACCAAGATTTTAAATACCGATATTCATAAAAATGTCGAAATCTCAATTTTATGGAAATATCGATAAAATATTGATATCGATGGATATTTCTAGAAAAGTTATCAAAATAAAAATTCGTAAAAATATTTAAATTAATAAATAAACCTTTTACAATTTCTAAATAAGTTAAAAATGATTAATATTAATCTTCTATCTATATTAATGACATTTTGTTGATATTTTTTATATTTGTTCATTTTTTATAATATTATAAAAGTCGATTTATTAATCATATCGTTGTCAAACTCATTGATGATAAAAATTTAGACATCTAATATTTAATACCATAGTTTCAACTCAGCGGGTGTCTCCTATCATAGTTTTTGGGTAGCCTTCGGGAATGTGTAATGAATATTTTATTTTTATTATACATAAAAATGAAATAATAAGGAAAAACAAAAATAATATGGTTTCTTTTTCCATTAATAATATTCACCGACGCGGACAAGATGTGGTACAGTACGATCATCGGTTCCTTTTGAGAGAAGTGTCAACTCTCCATTGTCAACCAAAGTGAGTTTATTATTATTATCTTTTTATTTGATAACTGTTTTGTTTTGTTTCTTTTTTTTAATTTTCCGTTAAATATTAGTTTCATTTTTTTTACTGTTTACTTTTAAAACTATTTTTAAAATATAAGTTGAATTTTAAAGCCTAAATAAATTAGTTCTTAAAATTTTAAAATTTGACTACCAATTTAAATTTATTTATAGAAAAAATACATTGACGAAAGTAATCCAAAAAACTTGTAGGTTTCAAAAATGACCTAAAAACTCACAATATGTTTTTCCGATCCAAAAATACTTTTTAGACATGCAAGTGAAGGTAAAAGTACTAAATTATCCTTAATTTGATGAAAAATATGATGTCTGAAGTAGAAAAAATGTGTCAAAATTCGAACGAGTTCAAAGTAAACTCAATTGAGTTTTTAGAATTTAGAAACTAAAATCTCGGATGAGGTTGCAGATTGTATATATATAATTTTATTATCTCTTTAGTTTAATGGCTTAAGTGTTCTGTTTTTCCTTCGTACCTGAGTTCAACTCTATCATCCCACAGTTTTTCAATTACTTTTTTAACTCACTATGTAAATAATAAATAAAAGTATAATTTTACACCGTACGGTAAATAATAAAAATAAAAGTATAAAAAGAATTTGATCCAACCTTATGAAAATTATCAATATATACTTTTTTTTTTCTTAATTCAACAATATGTAGGGTGGAGCGAAGTTCCAACTTTAATTCTTGATTGAAAATATATGTCTTTAACTAATTGAATTATATTAAATAAGTAATTACAGTAATTGAATGTAAATTACATATATAAAACAGGATGATGATATCTAGAATCGACTTGGCATGAAACAATATACATTATTATCATGAAGTAGCAAAAAAGACCACTCTTGGTCAAGTACGACATCAAGCCCCCACAGAAAAAAATTAAAATAAATAGAGAATTTTTATGTGTGAAAAAGGATCCTAGTTTTTTTAGTACAACCTGCCAGAGTGAAAATTCGAACCCACGACCTTTTAGTTAGACATAAGTATTTTAGCTAATTGAGTTATATTTAAATTGACAAAAACGACATTTGACCCCATCTCAAGCAAGAAAAATAGTTTCCAAATTTGAGAATGTAGCACAAGAATGAAAATTTATATTTCGTGCACATAGTCGAGTTGAGAAGTGGAAGGTACACATTACGTGTACTCATTTGAAACCATTGAATTCGGAATATGGTAAACGTGTACTTGTACTCAGTTTCCTAATCATACCTATGAAATATTGAATATATAGATGATGATGTTTAGCCTAGATCTCTTTAAATATATGATCGCATATCATAGAATTTAGCTAGATACACGCTCAATTCACTCTCTAAAACTAACCTTTCTTCCATCGTTCTCATTTATGTATAACCTCTAGTTCATTTGAGCTTAGTACATTTTAATTATCATTAAATTATGTTTATGTTGACTAAATTGAGAGGATTATTAATCAGACACAGTCTAGAAATTTATATATATATATATATAGCAAGTATTATGCATAAAAATATTCCTAGAAGAGAATCTTAGACATTGTCATTTAACTTGGGCACATTCCATGCACTCTCAAAGTCTTTTAAAATCTTAATTTAATCCATGGCTTTTAATAATTATTTTGGGTTCTTAACCATAGCTAGAGAGAATTAATTAAGGTAGTGCCAAAGTAATGTCAAGCAATTACTTGAGATGCTTCTCGATCTTCGCCAATCATTAAAACTTTATTTTATTGAAAAAAAT